AGGATACAGGCCCCTTGGACGCCCGTGTGGGAGCTTCCTCGAGCGCGGCGGGCCGTCGAAAGCAGTCAAGGATGGACCGACGAAGCACGGATGCAGTGGCACCCTTGGGCGAGGGGCAACGAGTTCACCCTGCGAAATGCTTTAGAAATCATGGGTTAAGAAATTCATAGTCTCAGAATTTGAAATCAAACCCAGAATATCTATTCAAATGTTAGGATTTACATTGAAACATTAAGAATAATCGAGACTCTGGCCGAAAACTTGGGTTTTCTTAAGCATCGCCTGGAGTGCAGGGGCGGACTGGCCCAGGGCGGGACTCGTCGACCTGGGATCGGCGATGCCTCGCCGACGGATCGGCGGCAGGCCCCCGATGGCACATCCGCACGTTCAGGGGCGGGGTGGGGCTCTCGGACCCTCTACATCGGCTGCTGATGGGCGATTGGGGATCGATGCGTCCCCCCTTGTGCCTACCGCCCCATTTTTTTTTTTTTTTTTTTTTTTTTTTTTTTTTTTAACGAGGAAGGGGACGACCGCGACGCACCACATGTACTCTCCACACCGCCTGCCAGGCCCATCACAAACCACTTGGGCTCACATATCAAGGCAAATGCATGTGTCACGGATTCGGTGCACGAGCAGTAGCACGAGCAGTAGCACGAAGAGGAAAATCGAGATCGTTGCCCATGATTGGGAAGGCTCACCATCCTTACCCTCGGTTTCGATTGCAATTCGGCCCCCCAGCGGCCGCTCGGAGAGATCTGAGCACCCCAGGGGAACGCCCTCGGCGAGGCGCGGCTGCTGGGAAAAGCACCCTGAGGCCGGAGGACGTGCGGAAAGCCTACGGAGACCCCACGCCCTGACATGCACCGATCTGATTTTTCCGATCCGCGGCCCCAGAGGTCCCGACCGCTTCCCCAAGGACCATTTTCCGTCCCAGACCTGTTTTTGATGGTCTCGGGGCCCGATGACCAGCCCTGTACAGGACGAAGTCGAAGGAACAATGCCAGGATTCACAAAGTCAGATCGCCAGAGATCTACTAGGTGGGATGCCCGCCCCATGTGAACGACGGCCAGCCACGGGTCCCACACGAGATGACATAGCGACCTTGCGCCGCGGCTTACGCGGGCCGCCGGCGCGGCACGCTACACTGAAAACGAGGGGCTCACGTGCGACCTTGCGCGGGCAATTCGCGCGCGAATGTCTGCTCAAACCACTCCGTTTTCTTCCGTCGCCGATCGGGGACGAACCGAACCGGGTCAATGCGAACCTGGGTCAATCAGGCCTTGCAAGATCCTGCAGGATCCTGCGCGCTGGCCCAGGTCCATGCAGATCCTGCAGGATTTTGCGCTCTGGCTGACCCCCGTTTGCAGTGACCCCCGTCTCTTGAGCCCCGAGCTTTTATGCTGCTCCCATCGTACTGAAGGACCACATCCCAGAAATAATTTCGAGCACCCGGGAAAGTGTCGAAAGAGTGTCGGACGAGTGTCTCCCAGGGCCCGGCACGTGAAAACCCTCGAGCTTCGGTACTGTTTTGGTGCTCGACATGATTTCTGGTGATCTAGACTAAGGTAGGTTGGAGCATCCCCAGACCCCCGACGTTGTGATTGTTGTCATGATGTTGACCCCCAGCAGTCTGAACCCCTTCTCCAGGACCGGTTTTTCATCCCGAGTCGTTTTTTTGACGGCCCCGAGGCCCGGCGTGGCCCCCCAGAGGCCCGAAAATAGCGAAAACCCGTCCGTCCTGACTTTTCCATTGCCCGAGAGGTGCAGCGTTGTCATGTTGTGCGGCCGAGCCTCCCGGCGGGGGCCCCGCGTCCAACCAGCGCGGCCCGGGGGGAGCGACCCCTCGCAGGCCCGAGCTCCCGGCGCTTGCCGCCGTGCCGAGCGTCGGCGGCGGTAGCGCCGCGCCAGCGCCTGTGGCGGGGGGGCGCGCCCCCCTGCAGGCGGACTCTTGGGAGGACAGATACAAGGTAGTCAGGACGTGCTCCGGAATAGTCAAAAAATGCTCAAAACATCGTCCCAGACTTTCTTTTTCGACTATTTCTGAATCTGTTCCTCAGGAGGGACGTGCCGCCTGTGGAGGGGGGGGCGGGGCAGCTCGGGCCTGCCTCGGGCGCCCTGCTGCTGCTGCTGCTCCTCGCAAGCCTCCGGGTCCTCCTCCTCCTCCTCCTCCTCCTCCTCCTCCTCCTCCTCTCTCCTCCTCCCTCTTCCTCCGCCTCCTGCTCCTCCTCCTCCCTCTTCCTCTCCCTCCTCCTCCCCCTCCTCCTCCTCCTCCTCCTCCTCCTCCTCCTCCTCCTCAAGTTCAAATCTTCGCTGCATCTGGTGCTCCCGCTCCTGCTGCTCCTGCTGCTGCTCCTGCGCCCTGCTTCGGATCCTGTTGCTGCTCCTCGCCAACATCCATGTCCTCCTCCTGATCCTCTCCTTCTCCTCCTCACTTCCTCCTCCTCCTCCTCCTCATTTTCGTCATCCTCTTCGTCATCCTTTATATCCTGCTATGCCCCCTCCTCCTCCCCCTCCTCCGCCTCCTCCTGAGCTCCTCCTTCACCTCACTTTCCCGTCGCAAAGCATAGTAAGCACAGCTTGTGCTGGATTTCTGAGGGGTGTGCGGATGTATGAGATTGCGACACAGGGTTCCCACAATTTAAACATCAAGTTGGCAGCAAGCACTCGACGAGACGCAAAAGCGGTGGGAGGAGGGGGAAACTGAGGTAGAATATCATGTTTGCAACGTGGACCGCAGCACACGGGTTCTTGCGCTCTCGATGTGCTGCGTCTATGTGTATACATCTCTCTCTATATGCACATATATATATATATACTCTTTTCATATGTATGCTTCTATCTGTGTTTGCAAATGATACCGGAGAAAACCCCAATCAGAATCTTTTTTGACAATTGGGCTACTGGACAGCTGGGCTATATAGCTATAGGGCTATAGGGCTATGGGGCTATAGGGCTATACGGCTATAGGGCTATAAGGCTATTGAGCTATAGGGCTATAGAGCGAGCTGTAGGGCTACAGGGCTATAAGGCCATCGGGCTATAGGGCACCCCCGGGCACCCGGGCACCCCCGGGCACGCCCGGGCCCCCGGGCCCCCGGGCCCCCCCGGGCCCCCCCCGGGCACCCGAGCACCCGGGCGTGCAGCGAAAATCGGCGGCAAACCTAACCTAACCATATGAATCCGCTAGGACCCCTACAGAGGCAATCTCTGATGAACATGCATCTATGTATGTAAACATGTATCTGCATGTGTATTTAGACATACATGCATAGACGTGTACATGTATCTATGTGTGGTGCATTATATGCCAGACAGTAAACGTGGTGCATGGTATGAGGTGCAACAGTTATGGTGCAATCGATGGGTTGCAGTCGATGTGGTGCAAACTCACTGGTGCAATCTTTGTGGCGCAAGCTCTGGGGTGCAATCTATGCGGTGCAACCCAGGTCGTGCAATTCACCTTGCTGGCATCCGCGTGGGAACACCTCCCGTGCAAACATTTCACCCACCCGACAACAACTTGTTTACTAAACTCCGCTGGCGTACAGATCCATGTCTTGGGCGGCCAAGTGCTGCTGATGATGATGGTGAAGGTGGCGATTACGACGAGGGATACGACAACGACGAGAACGATGCTAATGACGGTGATGATGGTGATGATGGTAATGCTGATGCTGATGCTGATGCTGCTGATGCTGATTATGATGATGATGATGATGGTGGTGATGATGCTGAAGATGATGATGATTAGGATGGTAATGATGCTGACGGTGGTGAAATGGTGATGACGGTGGCAATGATAACGCTGGCGATGATGATAACGATTGTGCTGAGGACAATGACAACGACGGTGATGGCATTGATGACGGCGGTGGGGACAAAGACGATAACGATGGCGATGGCAGTGAAAATGATGGTGATGACGGTGGCGATTGAAATGCTCACGATGATCATGCCGATGGTGCTGATGAAGGTGATGAGGAGGCGCGGGCACGCAACAAATCTGACATCTGGGCAGAGATTCAATCTGTGTTTGAGCACCTGTGTTAGTGTACCCAATGCACACGCGACAGCGTACATGAAACTATCACTATACAGTTCAACACCCGGGCTGGGAGCTAAGGCAAAAGGGAGACACGGCCCCCTTCGAAAGCCTTGTCACGAGATCCAGGCCCAACCTCGCCACCTTTCGATGGAGCTTGACTTGTGCACACCCCGCCACACCCACCCAGCACGCTGGTAGAGTTGAAACGGTTCTACGATGAGCGTGGGCTTTGCCCCGGGCCAAACCATCGGTGAACACAGGCGCCAGCTCCAGCGAGCAGTCAGGCACGCGGCAACGGCCTCACCCGAGCCCACATGGATCCGAAGACCCCAGCAACAATCCGCCGCGCACGATCACGAAAACCACCCTAGTCCAGTAAACCGGCAAACGTGGCACCAAGCCGAGAATGCAAACCTGCGACACGGCCGAACTGGGAGTGACTGTACCTCAGACCCAAACCGGGCAGCAAGGCTGAGCAAGGGTGGACTTGATGCCCAATCAGGCGGTTGCAAGGCTTGGGCCAAAGGCGACGGATACGAAGGCGGGAAGATGGAGATGGGCGGATCGGCCCTGAAGGTCAGAATCGGCTACGCGCAAGAGTGACCCTGGGCAAGATCGACCTTTGGTGCGCGGCCTTACGGGGGCCGCGGGGGGACCAAACACAAGCGCGTAAGACGCTGCTGCCGCACCACGTTCGGCGATCGGGAGACCCCTTTGAGCCCGCACCAAAAGGTCACTCCTGCGAAATGGTCACTCTTTGAGGGACAACGATAGGGGGGGATACACGTCGTTCATTTCTAATCGTGCTCATTTCTAATTGTGCTCGTTTCTAATTGTTCCTGCCCCCTAGTGGCCAGGAAGAGGCCCATGATAGAACAGTTAGAAATGAAAGGATCTTGGCCCCAAAAAATCAAGGAATTTTCGAAGAATTAGACATGAACAATGTGTAAGAGTAGGGGGGGAAACATCGACCTGGAATCTGCGATACATCGCCGATAGATCGGCGATAAGCCCCCGCTAGCACATCCGCACCTTCCTGGCCAGGTTGGGGCTATCGGGCCCGTATCGGTGATCAATGGGCGTTTGGGGGTCGATGCATCCCCTCCTATGCCTATCCCCCCCTATCGTTGCCCCCGGCTCTGACGTGCAATGGATCATTCCATGGGCGGATCGGCCCGTCTGTGGGCGGATCGGCTCTGAAGGCCAGAATGATTTCCAGGCCGGTCCGGCGGCGGCGCGGCGGCACGCGGCGGGCTGGCCGCAGAAACCGCTCTTCCGGCCGGGCGGGCGGCGCCAGTGCTTCGGCCGGGGGTCGGTGAGGCTGTCGGCTCCTCGTCCTCGCTAGAGGCCTCCTGAGATGGGGTCCGAGCAGATGGGGTCGGAGGATCGCGCCGCATCGTCGGTGCATCGGCGATGCGGCTCGATGTGGAGCACGATTTTCTCCACGGCTGGAGTCGCCGATGCATCGCCGATGTATCGGCGATGCGGCGTGATCCTCCGACCCCATCTGCTCCGACCCCATCTAGGCGGCCTCTATCCTCCCGCGTCGCTACACAAGCGCACGCGGCGTGCGAGTACACGTCGGTCGGAAGAAGTAGGCAAAGGCATGAGGTAGGAAGGCGGAACAAAAAGTGGATTGGGTTCAGGCCCTCCCAGAGAATAACAAGACACATCAAAACCATGCCGATTCTTGAAGTAGGACGGTGCTAGCAGTAGATTGGGATCTGGCATAGCGGATTCATATGGTTAGGTGAGGTGGGGCGTCGATTTCGGCGGCACGCCCACGTGCCTGGGTGCCTGGTAGCCCTACAGCCCTGTAGCCCTATAGCCTTATAGCCTTATGGTCCTATAGCCTATGGCCCTACAGCCCTGTAGCCCTAATAGCCCTATAGCCCTATAGCCCTAATAGCCCTATAGCCCTAATAGCCCTAATAGCCCTATAGCCCTATAGCCCTATAGCCCTAATAGCCCTAATAACCCTAATAGCGCTATAGCCCTATAGCCATAACAACCCTAATAGTCCTATAGCCCTGTAGCCCTATAGCCCCATAGCTCTATAGCCCCAGAGCCTTATAACTCTATAGCCCTATAGTCCTGTAGCCCTAAAAGGATTATGATTGGGTTTTCCTCCGGTATCATGAAAATACATACTTTCAACGACCGACGGGTAATATGACCACCGCCCCGCAAATCGTCACCAGCTGAGCGAGGGTAAACAGAAACAATTGGTTTTGAACGTGCTTCGACGTGCGAGCGCGGAGAGGCCCGCGTGTGGGGACTACATTCTATTCCTTGACAGAATTAGCGGGTGCGCGATGATTGCTAGAACTTTTCGACATGCGCGTACGTGTGGCCCGCATTGCCTCATTCGACAGAATTGCCAACAGCCTGTGGCTGTCTCCTGATTGCAACGCTTTGGCGCGCGCAACGACGAACCGACTATTTATTGCCGGATAATGCGAAGAGGCTCTCGTTAGTTGTTGTACATCCCTACGCACGCATCTAGATACATACATTGTTAAACCACATCTTGCCTCCGAATGACTTTCGCATGCGCGCGCGGGGGTGCTCACATGGTGCGCTCCTACGAATATTTCATAGGAGTCAGGGGGATGCGATACAGGCCTGGCTGGCATGGTGTTGTTCTAACTATGAAACGAGCGGTCGTGCAGAACGGGGAATAAGTCCTGCCTCTGCAAGGGTGTATAAAGTGTCTGGGATGCAGCCTAAGGCGTGCAGTATGTGTGGTGGAGCTTGTGATGCAAGCCATGTGGTCGAAGCTATGTGCTGCATGCTGTTTGCTGCAATGTATGTTGTTCTATTCTTCTGTTGAAATTGAAGTCGGCAGCTCCAGTGATCGGTCAAGCATCCCACCCCCCCAACCGCAGCTTGTTGGCCAAACTCATTTGGGGTAATGACGTGTGGACCCTTCTCGTGCAGTTTGTGATGATGGTGGCGCTGTTGACGAGGGCGACGACAACGACGACGACGACGACGACCATGATGCTGTTCATAACGACAGTGGGGACGATGACAACGACGACGGCGATGAAGCTGATGGTGATGCTGATGGCAGAGGTACTGATGACGCTGGCGATGATGATGCTATGGCGCTGGTGATGATGACCAGGACATGTCCGTGCGCAGAAGTTCAGACATGATGATAAAAACGTGTTCGAACAACATCTGTGTTTGCATACACGTCGTTCATTTCTAATCGTGCTCATTTCGAATTGTGCTCGTTTCTAATTGTTCCCGGCCCCCTAGTGGCCAGGAAGAGGCCCAGGATAGAACCATTAGAAATGACGGGATCTTGGCCCCCCAACAAAAATCTCAGAAAGTTCGAAGAATCAGACATGAACAATGTGTACGTGTTCGAACACCTTCGTGTTGAACTGCTCGAAGAACCCATGGTCTTGAACGGTCTTCGACGTGCGCGCGCGGCGACGCGCGCGTGTGGCCCCGCCTTGTACTCTTTGACGAACTTAGCGAGTGCGCGGCGCGATGATCCCTGATCGTCTTCGACAAGCGCGCCGCAAACCCCATTCGACAGACCGGCTACACGAACGCTGCCACCTGATGATTTCAGCGACTGCGCGCTCGCAGGAAGTGGGCAATACTCGGTTGAGCGTGCCATGCAGAAGTGATGGTTTTTCTGTTGAGCGGCTGTCTAGGAGCTCTGAGAGGGCAAGTGGGTTTGAATGGTTTGACATGTCCGCGCGGCGGCGCGTTTGACAGTGGTTGCTGTGCAACGAACTTCCCAGACCAATGCAAGTTCATGCGCATGGTATTTCGTTGCAAGGGATGGCAGCAGGGGGGTCGACACCAGCCCGGCTGGGATTGGCTGCAAGCCTCGTCACCTCGGACCAGCGATCGTGCAAAGCAGGAGCGGAGCAACAATCACTACCCCGAGGGGTGCCGCGAACCCCAGCCTCGGCGGGGGTGGTGTGGGGGCCAAAATTTTCTGGTAGGGTTAATATATGTATGTATACACATATATATATAAATAAATATAAATATGTATATGTTAAAAAGGACAAAAGCACAAACATATGTGCATGCGGAGAAGCCGGCCAGAATGCGAGGCGGCCATGAGGCGGCCCGCCTCCGATCGGCCCCCCAGGTGACGCCCCGCGGCCACATGGCGCACGGCACTGAAGGCCCAGCAACCACAAACCCCACCGGCCCTTTGGGCGACAAGTGGCCTGGCGAGGGTCTCTCTCCGCTTCCACAGCCACTCCTTCCCCTCGGGGAGGGGGGGGAGCCCTCCCCCTCCCCTCCCCGAGGTCTTTTTGGGAGGGATCGCGAGGTGTCGGAGGCTCTTTTTCGGCCATTGGGAGGGCTATTTTTTGTCACCCGTCACTAGGACTGGGATCGCGGCTCCCGAGCGCGAACGGCACCGAAAGCCCCGCAGCCGCAAAGCACCGGGCAGCCAGGCGGCACCCCCTCGAGTGCAAAGGCCCTGCTCGGGGAGTGCTCGTCGTGCCCGTCGGCCGCATCTGCTGCGGTGGCCCCGGGGAGACGCGGGCTCTGGCTGTGCAGTTGCATGATCATGGTTGAAGGGGCCCTGGGACACACAAATAAACAGACACAAATATAAAGTTTCACAATCTTTTCCCACATTTTCTTGGTTTTTGCCTTCCCCCCCCACTTCCCAGAGCTTCCAGTATTTTCCTGGGAATCGACGATGAATTGTGTCTGTGTTTTTTTCCCTCCTGAATGGTACTTGCGCGTGGGCACTGGGGCGAGGCCCGACCCAATGATCAGAACGGAGGCAAGCAAGGTCATACCCTTTGGGCACGACCCCCTGCAACCACCAGGGGTTCCATCACACAGTGACGAGGGGCGGGATCCGACAGGCAGCGCTCAAAGCAGCTACCGAGGAATCCAACGCACAGGGTCAGCTAAGAGCGGGACCACGAGACTCTATGCAAGCTCGCCGCCAAAGCAACACAAACACCTGAAGGCGGGGGCCCATGAGCGGGACCTGATGCCATCATTGCGACACCAAACCCCCAGTGGCAACTGAGGGTGGGACCCTACGGGGGTAGACCCTTTGCAGCCACCACGGAACCCGATCCACAAGCAAAGGTGGGGCCTATGGGAGAACCCCCTCCTGCAGCCACCGGCAAGTTCAGGCGATACTTTTTTTTAGCACAATTGCGGACCTGCCGTCGCCGCGCCCGCGCGGTATAGATCCATAGCAATGCCTCACTTGCCCCACTTGCCGCCGCCCTTGCTCTGCCACTGCGGCAGCCTTGGGGCCGGCACCCAGTTTCCCCGGCCGCCGCCGCCGCCCTTGGACTGCCATGCCGGCGCGGTGGGTGGCTGCACCATCTGGGGCGCGCCTCCTGGAGCGGTCGCCGCCGCGGCGGCGCTGCCTTTCGGCACCAGCGACCCCTGCTTCTCCGCCAACGCCTTCTGCTTCGCCAGCAGCGAGAAGTCGAGGCGCCACGTTTCGTCACCAGCGTCCAGTCGCCGCTGCCGCTCGCGCCGGCACTCCTCCTGCGACTTGAGGAAGTGGTCCACTGACTTCTCCTCCGCGGTGGTCAGCACAAGAACGCCCCTCTCGTCGATGGACGCGGTGTCCTTTATGAGTGTCAGCACGTCTGTCAGCGTTTCTTTCCCGTACATTTTCGGGGTAAGCTGCTTCTTGAAGAACTTGGCATAATCTGCCACCGCGCCTTTTGCACGTTGGGGCGTGTTACAATGTCCCCCTGCTGTCTGGTAAGGTCTCTTCGAGATTTCCCAAGCCAATCCCATCTCTGCATCGCAAGTACCCTTACAAGACCACACCCTCTGGGGTTGCTTTTCGGAGCTCTGTTTGGCCTCCAGACGGCGCCAGGACAAGTAAGAGGATCCAAGATGGTCTCAAGATGTCTCCAAGCTGGCCCAAGATGCCTCGAAGACAGCGCCAGACTGCCCCAAGACTGACTCAGATGACCCCGAAACATCCCAAGAGAGCTCCAAGCGGCCCTCCAGGTGGGCCCGAGGAAATCCAAACCATGCTCCGTAGGTGGTCCCGCTCTCTCTGGCCTCCGACAACCCAAGACGGCTCCAGAGGCCTCCAAGACGGGCCGAGAGGGCCCCTCAAAACGGCCCAAGAGACCCCATGACGGCCCAAAGGCGCATGAAGAGTGCCCCAAGACAGCCCAGAGAGGCAACCAAGCAGGCCTCCGAAGGCATCAAACGGCCCAAGAGGCCCCCGATACAGCCCAAGCGGGCTCCACTAGGCCCTCCAACACGGCCCAGAGGCCACCAAGAAAGCCCCAAGACGGCACAATAGATCCCCATGCCGGCCCGAAGGTGTCCCAAGAGGATTCTAAGACGGCCAAGAGAGGCCTCAAGACGGCTTCCGACAGCGTAAGACGGCCCAAGAGATCCTTTAGATAGCCCAAGAGGCCCCCGAGAGGCTCCAAAATGCTCCAACGAGGCTCTACAGGAGGTCCCGGAGAGGCCCCCCCCAAAGAGTCGAGGGAACGAGGTCGAGTTGAAGCCCCCCTTGAGTTCAGACCGCGCGCTGAATTACAGTGGGTCTTTAACTCAAGCTCCTTCACGTTGCGCTGCTCTTGCAAGCATGGTGACGGGGTTTGCCGCAGGCAGCCGGATAGAAGGGGAGGTTGGACTCATGGATGCCAGGTCGCTCGGGGTCGTCGAGAACCTTGGAGTACATGTGCGACAGGAGGTAGAGGTCGCAGCGTAGACCGAGGAGCGCCCAATCCTCGAACCCAAAATCTTTGAACAACGGGGTTCCGTCCCCAACGTCGCACACGTCCGAGATCTCGGCAATGTCCTCTATCGGCTCCTTCTTCTCTGCCTCCTCGCCCTCCTTTGGTGGCGCGACGAACTTGGGGCTAATCTTGGCCTTCTGCTTGAGCTCTGCGACGCGCTTCTCGAACTCGGCCGAGGTCGTTTTGAACCACTCATTCGGGGCCAGGTCGTCGACCCGTGTTGAAACCTTGAGCTTCAATACAAAACTCTTCAAGTGCTGCTTGGCCTCCGCCTCTCCCGCCCATTCGAACCGGATCTCGTCAAAGCCCTCGCTCTTCTCCGGAATGGAGAAGCCCGCGAACGACTGGGCCAGGACAGAGCTGCTCAGGTCGCTGGTGATGACAGGCTTGAAGCATGCGGCCTTTTCCTCGTCCGTCAGCTCGGCCACAGGGGGCTCTTCCGCCACCTCCTCGTCGTCCTCTTTTTTGACCTCCTCTTGGGCCTCCTCTTTGCTCTCTTCCTTTGCCTCCTCTTTCTCTTCCTCCTCCTTCTCTGCCGAAGCACCCTCCTCCTTCTTCACCTCCCCGTCTGCCTCCTCCAAGACCTGCTTCTTCTTCTCCTCCAGCGCCTTCTTGGCCACCTCGGCCGCGGCTGCCTGCCGCTTCTTGCGCTCCCTCTCGAGCTTCTTCGCCTGATGCTCGGCGTTCAGCCTGGCTTGCTTCGAGGCGAGCATCGCTTTGTGCACGCCTGCCACGAACTCCTTGCTCGGCTTGCCCATAACCACGTGCGCTACCCTCTTGAAGCGATGCCCGCTGAATTTCTTCAGGTTGGCCCTGCGGTCTTCGGCGACCAGGTTCTGCTTGACCTCCATGAAGACGTAGTCTCTCGGCAGCAGCGGCGCCACCGAGCCTGTGACGCGGGACACGCTCCCGTCGTCCATGCCCTGGACGCCGAAGCCGAACTCGGGCTTGTCGTTCGAGTGCGCCAAACTCCGCCTGGTCGGCTTCCAGAAACCGCTCTTCGTGGCCCACTCCTGAATCTTGCGGTCGCTGAGCTCTGTGTACTGCGGGTTCTGCTTCAGGAAGCCGTCCACGAAATCAAAGGTGGCCTCGTCTGGGACCGCCACGGGGAACACCACGGTGCACTTGTCCTTCGCCAGAACCTTCGACAACTCAGTGTCCGCCTTCGCCGCGTCTTGGATGGTGCGGCATGTGAACGGAAGTGTTTGCAGGGGCGACGGGCCGAAGTTCACCTGAACGCTCATGCCGCGGAAAGACACGTGGGGAAAGAGGGCCTTGTCCTTGAGTTCTTCTGGCAGGGCCTGCGGCTTACTGATGCGTTGACCGTCCCTGAACAAGCTGACAGTGTTCGAGTTCGGGCTCTTGGCGTCGAGGTTCAGCAACACACCGACGACCTGGCCCTTCGTGAACCGCTGCGATGTCATGAGCTTCTTACCGTTCGCCACGAAGAAGCCCTCCGAGTCGAAGCTGGCGCTGTTGGCGCCGTCCGCGACGTCCCCGAGCACCAGCGAGGAGCCCGCCGCGGAGAAGCCGACCCGCACCGTCTGCTTGGGCTGAGGCGTCCGTCCTGCGTAGCCGGGCTCGTGCCGCCAAAGGGTCTCCAGCACCTTGACCTCGAACATGTACCGGCCCTTCTTCACCCCCACGCTCGCGCGGGCGCCAGCCATGAGGAACTGCGTCCCCCCGTCGGTCAGCCTCGTGCGCTGTGCCATTTGGGGGGCAGTGGATGGGGAGGGGGAGAAACGAGCACCCTTCGTGTCCCTCTAGGGTTCGGTCGGGCACGTCCCCCATACAGGCGGAGCTTGGACGAAAAATACCCCAAAAAGGCTCAGAGATGGTGAACAAATAGTCCTCCGACTATTCCTTGACTATCCTTGAATTTCCCCCTGTAGAGGGACAGGCCCGACTCAACTTTAGGGCCTTTCGGGGGCAGCAGGTGCACGTTCCTTCACCCCTCTTTTTGTCGCTCCCCCATTACGCAACGCCCGACGGCCCCATGAGGACACTGCCCCCGGAGGTGGGCACCACGTTGAGAGTGCAGTCGTTCGGCGGGAAGGTGACCTCGTCCGCGAGCCTCTGCCGCTTGTCGTCGGGCGCGCTCTTCTCCAGCTCGGGGGCGTCCTCCTCCACTGAGACCTCCGACGACCCGATCTTTTCGGATCGCTGGCCCCCCTGGAGTCCCTGGCCCCTCCCCCGGACCGTCTCTGCATCCCGAGCCTCTCCTGACTACCTACCACCCCAATAAATTTCGGGTTGGGGAGGTGCCGGTTGCATACGTGTTTTTCAATGCTCCGGGATGTCCCCCCCACTGGAAGGGAGGGGAACTTGGGGCCTTCGGGTTAGGGTGGGGGTGGGGTGGTTTCGTGGGTAGTGCTGGGGATCTACTAACCTGGGTCAATGCAAACCCGGGTCAGTCGGGCTTTGCAAGATCCTTGAGGATCCTGAAAGATCCTGCACGCAGGCCAGTGTCAGTGCAATCCTGACTATGCACGATCCTCAAGACCCAGCGCTCTGGCTGACCCCCGTTTGCCTTGACCCTACCTCAAGGCTTATGTTGCTCCCATCTCACTTAAAGACCGCATCCCAGAAATAATTTCGAGCACCCGGAAAAGTGTCGAAAGAGATTCGAAACAGTGTCGGGCGAGTCTCCCAGGGTCAGACACGTGAAAACCCGTGAGTTTTTTGGTACTTTCCTGGTGCTCGAAATTGTTTCTGGTGATCGAGGCTAAGGAGGTAGGTTGGAACATCATAACTCAAGGCTCCGATGGTGTCCTCCCCTGCAGGCCCAGAAACGATCCCCCCGAATGCCGAGAGCAGCGATAACGCGCCGCGGCTCGACTTGTCTCTCGGGCCCCCGGGAGGTGTGGGCGCTTCTCGGCGGCAGCGGCCTGCTCGGGGGCCTCCTTGCGGCGGCGCGCACGAGCGGGCGGGGGGAGACGAGGGGGGCAGCCCTCTCAGAGGGCAGCGCATCCCCTTAGAGGCCACACTTCGTTCTCCTCCCCCTCCTCCTCCTCCCCCTCCTCCCCCTCCCCCTCCCCCTCCTCCTCCTCCTCCTCCTCCTCCTCCTCCTCCTCCTCCTCCTCCTGCCTGCTTTAGAAGAGCAGTCGGCACAGACATCAACTCTCGGAGGTCCGAGCGAAAATTTCTTGGGTCGACGCTGGAGGACCCCCACCCTGTGCGCGCGGCGCGCGCACAGGGTGGCGGCGCCGGAGGCGCCGCCCAGGGGGTCCAGCGCCGATCCAAGACATCTGCACTACACCACGCGAAATGGTTAAGAAATCATGGGTTCAGAAATTCATGGTCTCAGAACTTGAACAAGAACCCAAACTTTCTATCAAAATCTTAAGATTTACATTGAAACGTTAAGAATAATCGAGACCCTGGCCGAAAATTTAAGTTTTCTTAAGCATCGCCTAAGGTGTACCCCGCGAAAGTTGATGCCTGTGCCGATCTCGCTGCTTCGATGGTCAGGATTCGGGCGTTGGCGCGACTGGGTTTAGGGGGGACCTGGCCTAGGGATGTGTACCGGGGGACGCGCCCCCCACCCAATTCCACCAACTGGAACTGGCGTCACACGAGGAACAAACAGCTGTGGCAGACCTGGTTTAGTGATTCCAATATATATATATATATATATATATATATATTGGGCTTCGGGGCCCAATCACTAACCGGCTCCCCTTCACAGGGGTCCTGGCTATACCCGAAGAATGCGGCCCCCCTTGCGGCCACAACCCCTCTGCGCGCCGCCAGCTGAGGGCAACGAACAAGGGGGACTGTTTCAGGGGGGGAAGCATCGACCCGGAATCGGCGACACTTCGCCGAATATGTCGGCGATTGGCCCCCGACAGCAAATCCCTAAGTTCCCGAACCAGGACCCTGTCGTGATGAAAGGTCGATTGGGGGCCGATGCGGCCCTCTCTGAGCCTACAGCCGACCCGTATAAGAAGGACGCACGATAAGAATGCAAAAACCTTGAGAAATGAAAGGCCATGTCGACACTCTGCGAGCGGGGCGCGGCCAGCGATACCGGCCAAGGATGGCCCGAAGGGAAGCATACCGGGGTAACCTTCGAGAGCTGCTCATCCTTGCTATGCGGGTTGACTGTGCCCCACTTAACGTTGCCCCTGAAAGCCCCCTCGGCGCGCCGTCAGCTCCTCCGTCTTCGCCTTCTTGGCCGGAGGCTCGACCGCTTTCGGGGCCACCGCCTTCGGCGCCAT